TTTTGTTATCTTTAGCTGTGAATTTTAGCTGGCCATTACACCAGTTAGATGTAAAAAATGCTTTTTTAAATGGAGATCTTAAGGAGGAGGTCTTTATGAATCTACGACCTGGGTTTGAGGGAAAATTGGGACCTAATAAAGTCTGTAGACTGAAGAAATCTTTATATGGTCTCAAACAGTCCCCTAGAGCTTGGTTTGAGAGATTTTGAAGAGCTGTGAAGAATTGTGGCTACTGTCAGAGCCAAGCTGACCATACCATGTTCTACAAACACAGTAGAGAAGGTAAGGTTGCAGTGTTAATTGTCTATGTGGATGATATAGTCTTGATAGGTAATGACAATGAAGAATTGGAGAGACTGAAAAAAAGACTTGCAGCTGACTTTGAGATCAAGGATTTGGATGCATTAAAATACTTTCTTGGAATGGAGTTTGCTAGATCCAAAGAAGGTATATTTGTGAATCAATGTAAATATGTTCTTGATTTACTTAGTGAGACAGGTCTGCTAGGATGTAAACTAGTCGAGACACCCATTGAGCCCAACCTTAAGCTGTAGCATTCTAAAGATGAAGAAGTTCTAAATAGAGAGCAGCATCAAAGACTTGTTGGAAGACTGATCTACTTGTCACATACACGTCCAGATATAGCTTTTGCAATTAGCATGGTTAGCCAGTTCATGCATTCACCTGGAAGAGAACACTTTGATGCAGTGTACAGAATTCTAAGATACCTAAAGGGGACCCCTGGAAGAGGTCTATTGTTAAAAAACCGTGGGCATTTGCAAGTTGAAGCCTATACTGATGCAGATTGGGCTGGGTGTGCTATTGATAGACGGTCAACTTCTGGCTACTGCACCTTTGTTGGAGGTAACCTTGTCACCTGGCGGAGTAAAAAACAGAATGTAATAGCGAGAAGCAGCGCAGAGGCCGAGTTTAGATTAGTTGCTTATGGAATTTGTGAGGTGTTATGGATTAAGAGACTATTGGATGAATTAAAGGTCTCTAATCCATTACCTATGAAATTGTACTGTGACAATAAAGCTGCTATTTCGATTGCTCACAATCTAGTGCTTCATGACAGAACAAAGCACGTGGAAGTAGACAAACACTTCATCAAGGAACAGCTCGAAAATGGATTAATCTATATGCCATACATTCCTACTACCAAGCAAGTTGCAGATGTGCTTACAAAGGGACTTCCTACAAGACAGTTCGACCGACTAATTGGCAAGCTGATTATGGAGGATATCTTCAAACCAGCTTGAGGGGGAGTGTTGAAAAGGAAAGATTTGGTAGTAATACTCCAAATATTATTAGCTGTAAATATAATATTTGAAGAATATTTTCTGTAAATAGAATATTGGTCAAATGCTGTAAAATAGGAAATTATTAAATAGGCCAGCTAGGTATGTACGTGTATTTTCTCCAATAAAGAGAACTTGTGTAAACTCGTGAATTGTGTGCTAATACAGAGAAAAAGGTTTTTTTTTTTTTTTTTTCTTTCCTTTATTGTTTATAGTTGGATATTTGACCATTGCTTCTCCTCTATTTATTATTGTAGGTTCATTCTGAATATTTACCTTTACATCATAGATGGCTCATTTCCTTCTAACTGATACGATTTTATTTTAACAGAATTTGGTCATCAAAACCAAAAGCTCTCGTCGAATACATGCCATGTTATTTTTGACCTTTTTGATGAGTCTATCGCTCTTTGTTGATCGAAATATTTAAGCGTGACCTATTCATATCGGTAAGTAATCAACTAGCTTTTGATTTTTCTGCACACTTGCTTTAGATTCCAAATAGGACATGTTGACCCTACTAACATTACAACAGATACAGCTCTTTCTGTAAACACTAGTTTATTTGAGGGCACATAAGGTGGCAATATTTTAAAATTACACTATCAACTTTTCTGTTATAAAGCTTTGGTTGCTGTATCAGATTGATTCAAACCTCTCATTGAATGTTATGAACCCTTTATTCTTATGAAACTCTTTTTGTTGTCTTTATTTTCATCAAAAAAACAGGTCCCAAATGGAATTGGAAGCATTCTGGGTTGGGATTGTACTATTATTATCGTATTCATATCAATTCAAGAGAACCTTTGCTAGAATCTTATTCATTAGCAAGTTTGTTGGCAGAATTTGCTTATCTGCCTTTTTTTTTTTTGGTCCAGTGGGGAATTGGGTGTCCTTTTTCTTCTCCCAGTGAAGGAAAGTTGGGGGTAAATTTTGAAGGAGATTATATTGTAATCATTGTTGCATTTAAATTCTACGTTTTGTATTATTGCTGAAATTTCTTAATAAATGTTTACTCAACTGGTTGTGTATAAAAACCTTTCCCCCCCCCCCCCCCCCCAAAAAAAAGGTCGTGTATGTGATGTATTGTGTGAGAAAAAAAGAAGATGATGTATTGTGAATTAATCAAGAAAAAAATAATAATAAATAACGAAAAGCACTAGTATAATATTCATCGGCTAGTTGTGGATGCTGCTCCTACCCCCTTGTCTGCAAAGAGGATCCCAAGCTTTCTGGCACCATGAGTTTCTCTAACATTGAAGTATGAACATCCTAATTACAAAAATAAAATAAATAAATAAAAAAAATAAAAAATTGCTTTGGAGTAGTGATGGAGAGTTAGGCTTGGTAATTTGTGTTCGTAGTCATAATCGTATTGATGTAAGGTTGTTATACTAAGCAGATAAATTCAAACCCAACCCATTTAATAATCATGTCAAGAACCTTCAATATTAACCCAACTCGTTTAGTACCCAAACCCAACTCATCTAATAATCGTGTTAAGAACCTTCAACACTAACCCAATTCGTTTATTAAACGGGTAAATGTGAAAAATTTGTCACAATTAATCCAAATATTTAAAATAAGAAGAAAAATCATAAGGCATAGACAAGGTTTATGTTGAAATGACTTAACTATCTATAATAATGAGGTTTAAACAGGTAACATATTACATATGTCATATTCACGATTATAACACGTTGATTTAAACGAGTTACACGGGTTGAACATGTCAACCTTAATCCAATACAGTTAAGTAAAAGAGTTAATCGTGTCAACCCATTTATGACTCAAATTCATTTAAAATTAACCCAAACCCGCTTATCTCGTATTGTGTTCGAATCGTGTTGGTGAGTCGAGTCGTAATTTGCCATATGAAAAGTCTACTTTCTCTCTCTCAATTGGTGGACCCGTTAACAACTGCATGAGAATCGAATAAAAGAAAAATATCTAAACTTTTAACTTCCTACGATTTATTATTGTTATTATTTTTCCTCAAAAGCTTACAAAAACATGAGAAATTAGCAGCCATTGAGGCCACACATCCCATTAATATCACATGCCTACAACACTTAGTTTGATTAAATTTTCTTAGTTTGATTCTTGGGCTTGTACAACTTGATACAACTACACACACACACACACACAAATATATATATATATATATATATATATATATATATATATAATAACAAAAACAAATCAAGCCCTAGCTCAAGTGATAAAAATAAGGTCAGATTAAGCTCTAATTGGGGTATCTTATTGGGTCTGGCTGGGCCTTAAGCTTGGGTTACACTTTTATATATTGGGTCTGTAAGTTGCACTCCTAATTTGTAATTTGCTTTGTACATATTTTTGATAATAAGTGAAATCATATTTTTACCATTTTTAAGTGTATTTTTAATTTTTTTTATTGCATCTCATAACTAATATTATAATATATTTTTTTGGCATACTGAATAATTTTCTTTTTCCTTCCTTGTGTTTATTCAGGGACAATATTGCTTGGTGCAACACTAAAAAGTTACGTTCAGGTAAAATATACAAGTTTGGGATTTCTTATTTACTGTCTAAAAGCATTTTTATTTTAAAAAATTGCGTTTAAATGTGTTTGGTAATTATTAGAAGCGATTTTAATGGTTATCAAATTTAGTTCAGTTTAGTTCAGTAGGATGCGTTTTGAATAGAGGTTGAATATTTTAGGTAATTTTTTTTATTAGATAATTTTGTCCATTTTACTTATAATGATAATTATACCCCTTCCTTAATAAAGTTACTATTATCAAATATGGTAATATCATATTAAATTATATTATTGTAAAATTAGCAATAAAAGTAAATAATTTTATTGTCAAAACTAAATCAAAAAATCCAGTAGGCAATAACAATTATGTAGTAATTGCATAGGGTTAAATTCTGAAAATAAAACAATTACAGATAGTCATTTCGGTCAAATTTTTTTTTTTAAAAAAATTAAAAATAATTACAAATATGTTACTTGGTACCCAAGCATTTCACTGACTAAATACGTCTTTTCACCATCATAGCGTTTCATTGAAGCCGAAGTACATGACATAATTGTGTCCCAGCTTCGGTCATCTGCACCAGCCTTTCTGGATTTTAAATTTCTAAAACTGTCACTTCAGCTTTTTTAAGAGCCACATTAGCAATTCCAAGAAATACATCTCTCCAGAAACATGTACTCCATTAGGCTCTCCAAATTTTCCTTCTTAAAAAAAAAATTAAAATTAAAATTAATTAAATTAAATTTTTTATTATTAATTTTTTTTGACTTTTCCTAACGGCTATATTTTTCATCTTATATATTGAATATTCATTTGCTCATGTGAAAATCATCACTACATTCATCTCTCTCCATTGTAGCAAAATATCATTATCCATCTTTTTTAATTTTGAAATTTCAATGATTTCGTCATCACAAGTTTTTCTTTTGGCAGACTCTAATTCTTCATTTTCCCCGTCATGCTCTTCGGAAGATGACTTTATTGCCGCATTGATTCAACGAGATCAAGATGAATTCTATGAAATAATAAATTCAGTGAGGCCAGAGATAATTAAGCAAGTATTTCAAGTCTATAATAAGAAACAATAGATTCATCATGACTAAGAGGGAAGCCATTATTAGCTAATGAAGACTAGTTCAACGAGAATTACGCATATCCATTAGAGTACTTTCACATGCGATTCAGGATGCGACGAAAACTTTTTCTTTGTATCCTTAATGATGTCAAAGCTTATGATGACTACTTTGTCCAAAAAAAGGATGTGACTGGTCGTCTGGGATTATCTTCTATACAGAAAATAACAACTGCTGTTCGTATACTCACATATGGTTGTGCAGCCAATCATTATGATGAGTATATTAAAATGGGCGAGAGCACTGCCATTAAATGCTTGAAGGCATTTTGTAATGCTATTATTGTTGTGTATGCAGAGGAGTATATGCGCCCACCCAACGAAACCGACATAACACGTCTGCTTGAAGAAGGGGAGCAGATAGGATTCCTATATATGCTTGGTTCTATTGACTGTATGCACTAGGAGTGGAATAATTGCCCAGTGGAGTGGTACAACACATATAGGGGACGCTCTAGTAAGAATACTCTCATATTGGAAGTAGTTGCCTTATAAGATTTATGAATCTGACATGCATTCTTTAGAATGCCGAGTTCACATAATGATATAAATATGTTGGATCATTCCTCGGTACTCAACGGTATCGTCAATGACCAATTACCTTCGGTTAATTATATAGTGAATAGACATCACTATAGAGTAAGTTATTACTTATCTGATGGTATATATTCTAAGTGGACAACTTTGATGCAGACTACCCCACACCCAACCACTGGAAAAGAAAAATTGTTTACTCAACGACAAAAGACATGCAAAAAAGATATGGAACGAGCTTTGGGGGTATTACAGATCAAGTGGGCAATAACGCAAGGACCAGTGCGTTATTGGGAAAAAGATGACTTGCGCCTCATAATGAGAACGTGCATCATCCTTCACAATTTTATCATTGAAGATGAGCGTCACACAAATGTTGGAAAATGGACTCCACCACCGGAGGATGCAATCTCGATTCCGACTTTAAGTCATTGCCCATCGATTTTAGCGGCACACATATTATCTCGCCAACTTTATATTTGCAACAAAGAGACAAATAAACGGTTGATGAATGATTTGATGGAAAATTTTATGGAACCACTATTGTGATGAAGATGTTTAATTTATGTTGCATTTTGTTTGCTTTTTAGATATTATGACATTTCGTATACTAGAATTTTTATTATGTAATGATTTTTTAAGATTAAAAATAATGAATTGGAATAAGAAAATAATGATTACAAAATCCTATCGGAATAAGAAAATGAAATTTTAATTGTTTTTTTTTTAAAGAAAGTCTTACAAAATTGAATTTTTTAAACTTTTTTTTTTAAAAAAATTATAGCCGTTAAGGCACTATTTGTATCAGCCAAATAGCGTTGTAACAGCCAAATGCATTGTTTATGGCAGCAATTTAAAATTTAAAGCAAAAAAAAAATTATTTATTTTTGGCCCAAATAATTTTTTTTTTTGGACAAGCAATGCCTAAACAATATATTTTTTATTGAATGAATTTTATTTTATTAAAAAAAAAAAAAAAATGAGCTCAAAATAACCTATTTTTGGGCTTTTCCAAAAAAAAGAGCTGCAACAGTGCCTTAGTTTAAAAAAAACAAAAAAACCTTCAGGAAAAACGTCGTCGTTTTGCTAAAGGCAGGAAGGAAAAAAAAAAAAAAAAAACCTATCGGGCTCCGGCTCGCAGTATTCCGCGATGTGGGCCCGCCCACTTTCCCCCAGGCCGCTGCAGGCCCATTTTGGTCGCGGAATATAACTTGCCCTACACTAAAACCTATCGATCGGTTCGTGGTCTTTTCTCCAACTCACACACACAGTGACGATCAATACTCGCTTTCGCTTCTCCTCTTTGCAACCAATCGATCGACGAATCAAAGCTTTTGCTGTTCTTCTTAGATTCTGGTAAGTTCTTCAAACCTTATCCCTAATTACTGGTTCTTTAATGTTTCCTATTAATTCTTTTATATTTATTTTAGGTTAGTGTTAATTTTACGTTTATATAAACTACTGCATCAACGAATTGAAATTCATGCGATATTTGGAATTGGATTTAAGGACTAATTTTAGGTTATCCCTAATTACTGGTTCCGTATTAATTCTTTTGTCCTAATTTTTTTGAGAGTGAAAAAAGCAAAGTATGTATGAAGGTTAGTGTTAATTTGATGCATCAACGAATTGAAATTCATGCGATATTTGGAATTGGATTTAAGGACTAATTTTAGGTTATCCCTAATTACTGGTTCTTTAATGTTTCGTATTAATTCTTTTGTCCTAATTTTTTTGAGAGTGAAAAAAACAAAGTATTTATGAAGGTTAGCGTTAATTTTACGTTTATATAGACTGCATCAACGAATTGAAATTCATGCGATATTTGGAATTGGATTTAAGGACTAATTTTAGGTTATCCCTAATTACTGGTTCTTTAATGTTTCGTATTAATTCTTTTGTCCTAATTTTTTTGAGAGTGAAAAAACGAAGTATTTGTGAAGGTTAGCGTTAATTTTACGTTTATATAGACTGCATCAACGAATTGAAATTCATGCGATATTTGGAATTGGATTTAAGGACTAATTTTAGGTTATCGTTAATTACTGGTTCTTTAATGTTTCCTATTAATTCTTTTGTCCTAATTTTTTGAGAGTGAAAAAAACATAGTATTTATGAAGGCATTGCGAATAAATGAAGTGTGTTTAGTCCTGCATTAATGATTGTTCTCTGTTAATATGAAGCACATTTTGTTGCAGTGATTTGTGCATTGCTTTCTTTAGGTCAATGATTATGGTGTATGAGAGTTGATCTGGAAATCTGAACTCTGTTCCTCTTCAGTTTTTGTAGTTTCCAGCTATGTTTGCTGCTGAAACTATAGTAATGAGGAAGTTGAGGATCAAAACTGAATCCAAACAAACTAAGACTGAATCTACGACTCGATGCAACTTTGGCCAGCAGGCTGTCTTAAAGGTGAAGTTGTCGGAACCAGGCTGTCACATGCGAAGACCTCCAGGATTGGTAGAAAGTCAAAAGGTGAAGAGGCAGAAGATAGATCAGAGCGTGTCACAGCAGTGTTCTACCATTCTGAAGAAATTGACGACTAATCCATCTGCCTGGCCTTTCAATCAGCCAGTGGATCCTGATAAATTGAATATTCCTGATTACTTTTCTATAGTTTCTGAACCCATGGATTTGGGAACGATAAAGACCAAACTGGAGAAGAATTTGTATTCCAGCGCTGAAGAGTTTGCTTCTGATGTCAAACTGACCTTTTCCAACGCCATGCTGTATAATCCTCCAGACAACTATGTTCATCTCATGGCCAAGGATTTAGACAATATGTTTAATTCAGGATGGAAGTGCTTGGAGGCAAAATGGAATTGTAAGAGCAAAAGAGATGAACAAATGTTTATTTCAAGTGAAAGACCAAAGAATATTGATGTTTTAGGGCAGAATAGGAGTTCTTTGGAGATAAGAGCAGCAAAAGTAAGTAATTTTCGGGTGATTACCATATCAAAATTACTTTTACCTTTTAGTTTTTTGCAGTTGGTTCTAAAACTTCGTGTTGGTTTGGGTTCTTAAATGTATTATCTATTTGACCATCTCTCTTCTTTACACAGGCGGAGCCTACTAAAATGAAAGGAAATGGCAGGTTCCAATCTTCAGGGAAGATGTTCCACAATGGTATGAAGTGGCAGAATACAATTTCTGTTACGGGTACTAGAAGTGCTTCAGGTTCCAACAATATCAAACCTTCATTGGCTGTCTCCAAATGTGCATGTGGCAGTGTGAGATGCCAATGTGGACGTCAAAATGATTTTGTCTGTTCATCTTCAAGTGGTTAGTTGATATTTTCTCATGCTGCTTCTCTACTCTGGATTTCCAGTAGTTGACTGACTTAATTCCAATCTTGCTTTTGGTACAGATTTGTCTTCAGAGAAATCATTGGAACAAGATCATCATGATGCTTGTAGAACGGTACATATCTCAGTATTTTGTTCATGTCATGGATTTATAACGAGATTTATTATATTTGATTTGCTTGCTATTCAAATATGAGTAGAAATCTTTGTATATAAATCTAGGACTGCGAGGTACAAATGAGCACATCATCCCTGATGAGCACATCATCCCAGATGAGCAAATCAGATTCTGATGGTAAGGATTTGTATTAACTGATATTTTACCTGTTGTTTCTTGGTAATCTAAGAATTGACTTGACATCTGAAATTATTTAAAGGGGCCGCAAGTGCTTTGGATGAAGAAAAATTTTGTTCTAGTCCACAACTTTCGACACTTGCTACTACTTCTGCTTCTGGAGAAGGTTAGTTTGTTTGTAAGTTATGTCTGACTTAAGTGTTTTTAAATGCAACCACTCATATACTCATATATACATCCTTGCATTTCCGCTGTTTGTTCATTTGGTTTAGCTTGCACACCACTTATTGATGTCCAACTGTCACCAAAGAAGGCTCTCCGTCATGCAATGCTAAAGAGTCGCTTTGCAGATACTATCTTGAGAGCAGAACAGAAGGGACATTTAAATCATGTAATGAATTTTGATGTGCAGAATTATGATAGTTATTTCTAGCAAAGTTAGAAGTAGTATAGTGGTCGAGCATGCAGTGTTGCTTACTAAGTTTGTCATTGATCTCAGGGTGGTAAAGCTGATGTGTTAAAAATGAGGCAGGAGAAGGAAAAAATGAAAAGAATGCAGCATGAAGGTATTAAATGAACTTCGTACCTGTCTATAAATAGATATATGCTTTCAGTATTATATATTTGTATGTGCTACTGAGCTAACACATAATTCTCCCTTTTTAATATAATAATGACATTTCTTCTTAGATTTGAGTGAAAATTTGAAGGTCTAGAGGGTGGTTATTGACCTATCATGCACAAAATATTTAATTCTTTAATCTATTTCAAGCTGGTTGGGAATTGATGAAACGAAATTTGAAGTGTATTATGATGGTATTACAAATAGAATAGAACAGAACAGAATTGGGACAAGGAAAATGTTAAAGTAGGATGTGAGGACCTTTTAAGTGCCTGGTTTATCAAATACCCAAATCCTAAGACACATGGACTCGATAAACATTTATCTCTCTCTCTCTCTCTCTCTCTCTCTTGTGCGTGCGTTAAGGGATGGAGGCTAGACGAGAACATGAAATCTGTGATCTAATCAACTTTGGCAGCATTAATTCATCCTATCATATTATTTTTATTGGAGTTTTTATTCATTTTTGTTCTTACTATGAGGTGCTTCTCTTTTTATGGAAAAGCTATAGAAAGTTCTGCAACTTTGTTTTTGAACTGGTAATTTTACTGTTCACAGAGGTGTTAAGAATTCAAGCTGAAATCAAGGCTGCTGAAGCTGCCTCGCGACTAAGAGCAAAAGCTGAACTCAAAATGCAGCTGGAGAGAGAAAGAGAAGCTGCCCGACTTGAACTAGAGAAGGTATGTCTATGTCTCAGTATCTCTTTCATGTAGATGTTCAAATTTGTTGAGACACCTTTATTACAAAAGGGATCTTACCTGTTGTAAATCTTACCCACATTCAGATAGAGAAGAGCGTGGAGATTGATGAAAATTTGAAGATCTTTAAAGAACTTGAGATGCTTTGTGGGTGTTCGCCATTTGGTCGCTTCTGTAATGCGTTGGAACAGCTCGGTTTGTATATAAAGGAGGAGTACCTGGTGGGTGAGAACGAGGATATATATTCATAAATCTGAAAACTCTTTCTTTCGTCTGTGATTTTCACCAACTCTGATTGTATATTCTTGTTTAGTGGAGTGGGAAAAAAAAGGTTGGATGTAAATGATCTTCTCAGTGAAGGATTTTAGATGAGGCAAAAAAAGTGTAGCAATATAGATGATGAGTGGAACTTATTAGGTGGGGCCTCCTTCCCGTTCTCATCTCCATTTTTTGAGAGGGGATGTATCTGGATTTAGGGATATTAGAAACTGTTTATAATATATAGCTATAGCCTGAAGAGGGGGCTTCCATTGAGTTTCATATCCATGACTCTGTTGTATTGTCAATGCAAAGTTGATGTTTACCATTTTTCAGATTATGCGTCTGCTTTTCCCTGTCCCTACTACTATTTGATTTTGATACAAATATTATATATAGTACGGTCTTAAGCTGCGGTCACAAACCATCACAATCTGGTCTCAATTTTATAAGGTCTGTTGCATTTTGAATTTTCATGGTGACTTGTAAGGTTGTAATTTAATGTTTTCTTCTTTATTGCTGCTATTTTAAAACTAGGGGTGACAATTTATGCCTAAATTCATTAAACCCTTCAAGGAGATCTACTAAAATTAAATCGTTTGGACACTCAATTTAAGTGTGTTTTTCTCTTTCCTTTATAAAAAAAATATTATAAACATTTTTTTTTTGGTATTCAACAATCATAATAGTAATAATTATTAATATTATTGGAAGTTTAGGAGTTCTAAATGGTTGAAATCAAAATTTTAATGTAAGAACGAATTTTTTTTTTCATTTTAATATTCAACAATCATAATAATAATAATATTATTAATGTTACTAGAATAGTAGAAGTTTTCATATTATTAATAATATTTTTTGTAATAATATTAATCTTAATATTTTCTGTTATATATTAATATATTATTAATATTTTCCGTTGATCTCTCTATTCTCATTTTTGTCTCTCCTCCTATTCTCTAATCCCATGTTTCACTCTCATATTCTCTCTTCCCCGTTTCTCTCTCCTCTGTTTTCACGTTCTCTCTTCCCCGTGAGACCCAAAAATTAATAAATTTAATATAAAAACATTTTTTGTAATTTTTTTGGTATTCAATAATTAAAATAATTTGACAGTCTGTATTTAAAAATATTTAAGTAATTGGGTTGGGTATCCATTTAATACCCAATTCTTTTATGACCCATCATAAATGGGTTATTGATTCGTTCGTTCATGATCAACCCAACGCCCAAATCCACCAAATTGCTACCCCTACTCAAAATCATAATTTTAAAGAATCAGAAGCGTAATCAAAATCATAATTTTAAAGAATCAGAAGCTAAGGGGAGGAAGATAACTTTAAATTTTGTAGGATTTTAAATCACAGTAACTTCACTGACACAAAAGATTCCCCAAAAAAAAAAAAAAACACCAAAACAAAAAATTTCCCTATTTGTACCATCCTAAAAAATTTAGCTCTTTAAAATTTTCAGTATTCATTGTCTTTTGAATAATAGAAAATCCATTGATCATGTTACGAAACCAACAAAAAAAAAAAAAAAAAAAGACTACTTACTAATGAAGGATACTAAAAAATTTGTGTAACCCACGTAAAGCCACAAATTAAGAGCTCAAAGAGGTCAAAATTTAGTTCGAACATAGCTCTGTTCATTAGCTAAAAAATTTAGAAATTCAACCTAAAGATAAATCACATGATAGTTGTTAGAATGTAAAAATTATAAAAAAAGGGGGAATTGTAAACATGTACGAGTTATGAGGCACAAATCTACAAAAGTTACTCATTGGCCCTGTCAAAGTAAAAACATTCCCGGGAATCCAGAAAATAAAACCAGTGCAAATTGAATATTAGCATATACCTAACAAGAAGGTGCTGCAAGTTTCAAGAGAAAAGTTCACTGATAAACTCAACAACTCAAAGAGCCTTCCCTTCAACTATTTGGAATTGGGATTGTGCCGGGAAAATGTCAGTGATCTATGCTAAAAATCCACAATGGTAAAGCAACAAATCACAAGAAAACACGCATAGTTCGTTTAACATTCTGAATATAGTATCCAGCCTCTACTGCAATCCCAGACAGGCATATTGCATCCTCTTGGAACTGTACAGTTCATACGGTGTACTTATTCTTGGCAGCTCTGTCAAGTTTCTTTGCATCATCCTGAAATAGAAAGCAAAACATTTCAACTTCGTCGTAGCCGATCACCCACATAGGCCTTATTATGAGCCAGAAAGATTTGAGAAAATAAAGTTATTCTCGTGTTGCACACAAACCATAAATCCTTACATGAAATATATACCCTATACTCTCATTGTAATCAAGAAACTCCTTCCATTGCCTGCCAATGCTAATCTGCAAACAAAAACACACATCATACATGCTGCCAATTCTATCATTGGATACAAAGCAATAATTATAATAATAGTAATAATAATTATTATTATTATTATAATTAGACAGGAAAAAAATAATTAAGAACACAACGTGGCTTGTGCCAACACTTCATTTTGGCAACACAATACTCATCACTGATGTAACAATACATGATTCTGATGAATGCATATAATTACCAACTCTATGAACATCCACATTTTTATATTTGTTCTTTTTTATGGTCTGATTCAAAGGAGAAAGGAAAAGGAGAGGGATAAATTTTTCACTGTTTTGCTGGGACAGAAGGGAATTGAAAGGAAGACGCACCGAGAACCATTTCTTTTTCCCTTTTTTTCCTTTGGACCCACACCATATTCATCGTATCTTTATTATGCTTTACTTAATTATTTAAAGCATGCTATTATCAAACTATGCAATAACTTTTTCCTTCCTCTTTTTCTTCCTACTCAACCAAACAGGAAAAGATCCTTGCTATGCTTGGAAATACCTCTTTCGTCCCTCCTATCTTCTAATTTTTCATCCTTATTACCAAATGGAGTACTAATAAATGCACACCTACTCAGTGAGTAGCCTTCACAAATTCAGGTAATGAGCCACTCATATACTCTATCCCTCATTTATCACTTCTTGGAGAGCTCCTTCCTTCATGGAATTTTATCTTCCAAGACTCGCTGCAAGTTTACCCAAATCATGGCTCAAATAACAGTGCTCGATTCCATAAAGCACATCCATATATTCTCCCTCTTTTTCCCCATGCACTTCAATTTAATTTGTTTGAAATTTTAGTATCATAAGGCTACTAAGCACAAATGCACCTCAACAATAACTGATTCTTATCCTGACCAAAAGATATATTTCATGTAATTTAATTTGGTTGGGTTTATTCAAAATCCCTTATCAGTGCTTGGATTCCTAAATCCACATTTTAAAGTTAGTCCGCTTAAAATCTGTAGATCAAAATCCAAAACATTTGTGTGTATTATCCACCAAGTAATCTAAGAAAAGACACATATACAAAATATACACGTAGACACACGGAAAGAAGATGTTTGTGACATATTTACTTCATGTAGAAGAAATCTGATACAAATTATGTGAAAGCAGTAAAATAACAAAAACATCTCTACTTGGCAACAAATTTAAACTGTCCAATTAAACATAATTGGATAACTGATTAAACTAAAGCAAGAGATATCCCCACAGATACTAACAGATTGGATATAGCAAAAAACTAAAAAGGCTTCATTATTTCAGCGAAAAACTAAGAGGCTTCATTATTTTCTAGAGAGCAAAAAAGTTTTAGAAAAGCATCATTCAGTATAGTATAACCTTTGGAACTATTCATCATGACTTGTATGTTTCACCTTCACGTTGTTCAACATGTGTGATAATGTCAACAAGAGAAAGTGACCAAGAACTGAACAGTGCAAATCAATATATCCCTACAATGAATAAAATGACTAAGGCGTTGGAGACTTGGAAGTATCAGATGACAAATATATAGATTATCTGTGTATAATAGCTTGAATGCATTGTACCATATTTCCAGCTTTAATTACAAACGTGTTAAGATGCCATGTTGCAGAAAAAACTTGAGGTAAAAGAAGAAGAGGAACAATCACTCCAATCCCCAATAATTTATAAGTTAATTTTCTGTGATTACTCTGTTTCTTGACAACCAGGTAGAGAATTTTAATAAAAATAAGTAAAACCATCTTTGGAGATAAACCATTTTACTGCAAATGCAATCCGCATCATGATAAAGTTAAAGACCATTCAGGCATGATATGGTAATCCACAAGAAACCAAGTTAACTGACTATTACACTATCACATAGCATTTCTTAATAGACAATTCAAAATGATATATTGACACTTCTTTCCTTTTTCTTTTTCTTTTTTTGCCGGTAAGTAAGAACTAATACTTAGTTGAACTTTGAATAATATGGATTGATTTATTTATGCAAGTAACTACCTGAGCAGCTTCATTTGCAGCATTCTTTGTCCACAAAGCAATTTTTTCCTGCCTATTTCTGACATTGACAACTGCTCCACAGATTTCATCTCCATGATCAAACTGTTCTCCAATCATCGCCAGCAACTGTTACAAATTCATATAGAAAATTAGAGGGCAAATAAGAGTTTAGAATTCAATAATAATTTTTTTTTTTTTTATAGTTTAAACATACCGTATACAGCCAACAAGTGTCAGACTTCCCCTTAGCAAAGGTCACAGTCCACTTCCCTCCATTAGAACAAACAGGGTCCTCCCATTTTGGCTCAATTTTATATTTGAAACAATGGAAGTCTGCTCCCACAGCCAACTTGCTTGGATGGTGTATATTATTGTAAAGGCTGCATGCAATAATAAGGAACTTTTATATTATTGTAAGAAAATTAAAATAATCTAGGTATGTCAGTTCAAGAAGGTGTAAAACCAAAACCAACAATAAAAGATCGCAGTATTAAAGAAAGAATTTTTCCATCATGGAACAAACATTTACAGATCACTATAAAATTTTAGAAGGCAATTACCTTGAAGCAACATTCTAGGAAATCAGGTTGAGGTGGAGAATAGAGGTTTATGTCCTAAACAGAAATGCTGAAACCTAAAATTTAAAGGTAGAAACAAGGTACATCTCATGATACAAAGTCTCACCATACTTTCAAGCAATTTATTCCATGCATTAAATGAAAATAAGTTTCTCATCATCTTCACAAAATTATGATTGATCACATAAGATAAAAATAGAGGCACTGAAGACAGCACTAACTGATCAAGGATTACTGGAAAAAAGAATTAAGAACAGAGAAAACATTTTATTAAATTTGATGAGGTTAACATGGTAGTGAAACAATTTTCATGCTTTATTTCCTTTTCTCTTCATATCATTTTTAATGTACATCAAAATGATTATCAAATAGATATCTAAACAACACTAGCAGAAAACATGGTTCTTGTGAGCTTAAATAGCTCAAAACCCAAAAAGAGAAAAAATAGTAGACTCAGGTAGCTGCTTAACTGCTTCCAAATATCTAACATGCTATACATGTGTATATATATATTCTACAATCTACACTAATTAGAAAATATGCAACACATATAAAGTTCTACATCTCTATTTTTTTTTACTCACATTTTCACAATTACACTTGAACAATATAATAATTCAACTCCAAGCACCTACCCACACCGGATACTAACATGGCTATTCATTGTACCATATGTAAAAATTATATTGAACAATCAAAGCTAATTAGTTTCAATATATACGGTAGTGGTCAGACGCATATACAGGAGTAACCAGACCCATCATGATGTCTCAATTTTCATATACTTACAAAAAAAAAAAACACATGATTATTGGTTGAAATGCGTAACTTGCATTCATTCATCACCGAGCCCTTGGCTCAGTAGTATCTCCTCTTTCTCCCAGATGGGAGGTTGAAGGTTCAAGTCCATCAATCAGGTAATAGTGGGTGTGTGTGCTTAACAATGACACACGCATAACACACAAACAAAGAAAACAGGGAAAAAAGCATTTGCTTAAAAGCAACTAGTTTAAAGATCTCTGACATATCGTGGAATTCAGCGGAATTCATCACACAGAAAATGTGTTTAAGATGATCACAAGAAGACAGAAAAATTTGGTCAAAGAAGCTCAACTAAGAGAGAAAGAGATGCATATCCAGTCCCCCCTGAAAATAGATTATGTATAAATAATCACAAAAATAAAGGACACGTTTATCAACTTCATACAGCACACAGATAATATTTATTTTACCAAGTAGAAACAAGTACTACTTCACTTTGTTGAATCAACCAAAACCTACACAGATTCACCTTCACTGGGAGATTTATTAAATAGACACATAAAAGGTAGTTCCACTACAAGAAGTGTATACCTTGTAGGGAACCCACAAAAAGCATCATTAAAGAAACCTATGATTTTAACCAGCACACTGGTAACGCATTCAATCTGATATCCCAGAAACTATTACCTAATAAACATGTCACCCAAGAAACATATGACCAGTCAATGCCTTCAAAAAATGAGCACAAGAAAATGAAAAAAATTCAATGCACAACCAAAACAAACCTAAGTAGATTCCTATATAAACAGATGGTGATTTAATATCTATCATAATTCTTAAGGTGACTAAGATTAAAATTAACCAACAAATTTAGAAGAACTCTTTTTTCTGTTTAAATGGGTAAAGACCTTCACCTTGTGCCACTGATTCTAAATAAGTAAATTAAACAGTTAAACTGATGTAACATATCATTTAAGTTTGATTAAATCATCACTCCTTCCCTTAGTTTTGTTTATTTTGAATGATGATTTGTGTAATATTACAGCTACATAGCACATATCTCAAAGCCCCCCTGAGCAGCAATTCCATAATATAAAGCATACTCTACAGTTATATAAAAGCTACAACTAACCTTTATATTACAAACTTGTGGACTACAATTATCTCTTCAATTAATGAAAAAAATCCAACGATTATAAGAAAACTACTATTTATCACGTTCATATCCCACACACTCTCTATATACACCACAGAATAAAGGTAGCTCCTGGCCATCACTACCTAGAATGCGGATCGTTATGGAAATAGGAATTCTAAATTCTAATCAATTGAACATAGAAACATTCAAAATTAAAAAAATAAAGAAACACTTCAACACCCGAACAATTGCATCATCGCTAAAAATATATATATAACACCTTGTTGCTGTCTGTAATTATTAATTAGGGTACGAATGAACGATCAAGCAATCATATCTAACCCTAAGCCTACTTATCAAAAATATAAATAAAAAAAATAAAATAAAAAAGAAAAGAAAAGAAAAGAAAGATCTAACCCTAACCCTCCTCCACCACACTATCCCTAACCCTCGTCCACCACACTATCCCTCAAACATCCATCTCCAACTGATTAAGCCCTAATAAAATAATTGTTTCCAATTTGCTCATTTTAGTCGCAACCAAAATAAAAATTAACACAAGATCTCAACATTTCATTGTCGTTTTCTCTTCCTACCCAGCATTTTCAGGGATCAAATAGATGATTTAAATGGAGAGAAAAGATGAATTAAAGATCACATATATACATATGAAATATAATACAGAATACATATATATGTATGTATACGTACCCCCAGAACTCCTCGACGGTGGAGAAGGTGTAGATGGCGCGAATGGAACTACCCCAAGCGGCTTGCTTTGATTTGGCGGAGGGGTTGTCGAACCAGAACGTCCACGAGTGCTCCAGCACATGTGGTTGGCTGACGACGGCCGTCAGTTGTTTGGAAGACGACGATCCGTCATCGTCGCCGACGATCTCTCCTTCCTCTGGCTCTTCGTCATCATCGGGTTGAACCCTAGGATGGTGGTCCTCTAGGGTTAAAGATTTCTCTACATCCACCATTCTCTCTTTCTCTCGCTCTGTGTCTATTAGCTTATGTGGTCTCTGTTTCGCTTTGTCTCCGTAGTAGGGTATGTTATTTATATGGTATTATATATATATATATATATTGATAAATATGCCTATATATATACAGGGGTCATATAGCTGTAGATATGGCGCTGTGCTTTGGTTCTAGTTTTGGGCGATGTTTGTTCTTGGGGAAAATTGTCATGGAAAATATAGTTGGGAATTGGTTACTTTTGACAATAACTTTCCAGAAATAATACTTAATTATTGTAATTAAGTCCTCCAGCTATTTAATAATTAAAAAAAAATAGAGATTTTAGCTCTACAGAGCTTTTGATTGAATGAAATCTTCAGGTTTTAAAACTGAATTATGAGATTTTATATTTTAGATAACTGAATTTTTTTTTTCTTTTTTTCTAAGAAATTCTCTCCCTTTTATATTTTTTATAAAAACAATTTTCTCATTTATTTTATTTTATGAAGTCCTACTATTTTATCAATTGAACCACTTTTTTATTTTTTATTTTATATTTTTTATTCTAGTAATTAGAAACTTATTCTTATTTTTCGTAATTTTTAAAGTTGGCTGCCAAATAAGCCTTTATGCTCCACTATATATATAGTTGTAGTTTTAGGAGGCTCATTTATTTATTTATTTATTTGGGCTGGAGGCTCATCTATTCATTCATTATTAATAAGTAAACATATTTCTTTGTCATCATACATATGAGCTTTGGTATTTTAAATACACAAACCCACTATCTCGGTCGATAATTAATGACCATTGGGTGGCTGAATTTTTTTTTTATCTCCGGCGAAATTAAAAGGAGGAAAATTCAAACATTGACAAACTCACTGAGTTTTGATATTTCAGCTTTTATAAATAATTTTTTTATTAAAGAGATGCATTTTAGAACTAATTTCTAAAAATTAAAGAGGTGACCAAAAAAAAAAAAAAAAAACACACAAACCCACTATCTTGATCAATAATCAATGACCTCACTATCTGATCAATAATTAATGACCATTGGGTGACTGGATTTTTTTTCTTTTTTTTTCTTCACACTCATTAAAGTAGGTATGCGCTCTACTAATTGGGTGACCTAAATAATGCTTAGAGAAGCGATTTAGCAAATCAATCGTTAAAACATATAAGACTAGTTTGGTACGGTGGAATAAATTATAATGGGATAAGAATGGAGGTAGAAATGAAATGAGAATGAAATAGTCATTCCTTTTGTTGGAATATAGAGTGATTTGGATAGAATGACTATTCTTCAAGAATAATGGAAAATAATGATTTTAATTTTAAAATTAGCATCAAACACGAAAATGAAAAAAAATCTAATTCATTCTACTTTCTTTTATTTCATTTCACTACACCAAACTATCCCATAGAATAATATATTTAACCGTTGTTGCGAATTGAGCGTACCCACTCCCAACCGGTTGGACATTATTTTTACTTGTTAGCATGGATGTGTATTCGAATAAATCCAGCATAATACCTGCTAAATCCAACCCCTTGAGCAAGACAGAAAAAATTGTTTATTGAAAAAGAATAAAGGCTATTCATTGAGTACAGGAAGGCTTTGCTGCAGTGATTCGGGCAGTTTGGGGGCGAATATACATATATCTATGAGTATATTAAACAAAACTATCAACTGGGTTGACCGTAGTTTAATCACAAATATATAAATAGTTTATAATTATAAAATTAGGAAAGTGATAAATAAGAAAATTAGGGAAAGTGACTAAATTTATTCAAAAAATAGTTATTGCCTTTATTTATTACTTTTCTGATTTTATAATTACGAATTATTTATAAATTTGTGATTGAATTACATTAGTTATCACTAAAGATGACCTATATATCGGTAAGTAGACAAGTATTGTCTTTTCAAATTTATTTATAGTATAATCTGCCCATATTGATTGGTTTGGAACATTTTATTTTTCTTTCGAAAAGTTGGACAATTGGGAGAGAACGAAAGACATGGGTCATAGTCCATTGGGCAAACTTTGAACAAAACAAACCCAAAGCAATTAGGTTCACTACAGTTATACCCAACCTAGCAAAGCCCAAGGCAATGGAATAGCGCTTGCAACAACGTTCATCTCCGGTGGTACAAAGTCCAACACTACAAGCACGTTGAGCAGCCAACCCATTCTTACGAAGGAGTCTCTCTTTAAAATACACTAGGTTTCATCGTACTATTTTTTTTTTTTGTGAGAGTTGATACGAAATTAATTCGAATTCGATAGGGTTTAGGTATGAGTGAAAGCATTGTTTATTTGAAAATTTTGAGCGAAATGGAGAGTTGAAGGCTCCCCCAATTAATAAATACACTTAGCTGAGTCCCGCGCATCACTCCAATTTAGGTACTAAAATGGCATGTTGTCTATTACCGAATTTCTGATCCTATATATTGCAAATTTTCAAGTAATTAAGAGTTCAACTAGATGGAAATTTTCCATGGAAAAAAAGATCAACATAGTGTAGATTGTACGAATAGCACAACAGGATTATCCAGTTTCAATGAGGCAAGTCGGAGACTAATATTATACATTAATTTTAAGCACACGTACATAATTCACTTACAATATATAACTCAAACCACATCATACTCTACCATTTGTTTTTTTCTCTCATCTAATCATATATATATATGTGTGTGTGTGTGTGTGTGTGTGTGTGTGTATAATAATTACATGCCATCAAGTCTCATGGTCTTCTTCATTATTTTGAATCCTCATTTTCTCTAAGAATGACTTTCCACTGAGCTTACGGGAGAAGAAATCTTTGAAGTACTTTTCCATCACTACTCTCTTGAATAATGGGGGGTTTTGTGGGTTTATAAGGCTATGTGCAGGTCCAACCTCTGCTTCAAACTTGGGATTGAAAAACATGGCAATGGAGATTCTTTCTTTCATTGAATTCACTGTCGCCCTATTCTCAATGCTATTATACACGCCATTGCTAAAAATCTGCAAAAAAAATACAACCAAATTGAAAAGACACACAGCAATACATGTCTTATAACTTGACCATGAATTTTCTTATAGATATTGAATTGATCAAAACTGTGTAACTTACATTGGACCCTCTAATAATTAACAATTATGAGAAACCCAAAAACTGTTAGTCCATATATTAATAAATTCGATGATATTCTGTGATTTTGTTTACGAAACATTTTCTCATAATAAATGATCTTTAGTAATTTATCCTGGTATATACTTGTTCTTGTGAGTGCGGATAACTTACCAAAAATATATATATAGTGTTGGTGTAAAAAATAGTGTGTATAAAAAAAAAAGTGTATGACAAAGAAAAAATATATTATTTAATGATATAAATATTTGGGACCATATTGAGTATGTGTAATGGTTAGGGTTTGGTTTACTAAACAACCGTGAATGAGGGGAGAGAGAAATTGTGAAAAAAAATGAGATATTTTAAGAGATAAATAAAAGAAATGAGATATTTTAGGAGATAAATAATTTCTCTCTGAATTGATAAGGAGAGAGAAAATAAAAAAGAAGCGTTGATAAATTCTTTAGAATTATTGTTCAATTAGAAAACAATTACAATATATTATATATACAAGACAACTATAATATTTTGGGGCCTAACTCGCCTAAGGGTTGAGTCGCCCCATTGGCATGCCCCTAAAATAAAAGCCAAATGGGAAGTTAGGATCCATTGTGTGTATTTGTGTCTTTATTGCCAAACTAAAAAATAAATATATAAAAATAAATAAATGTTTTAATTAATTCCTAGCCAGTTTAATTTTAAAAGTGCCAATTGATCAGCCTATCTGATATATACATAAAGTTCATATATATGCCTATATGGATGCATGTCTGTGTGGGTGGAAAGAATACTAAAAAACGGTTGAAAATTAGGTAGCGTGAAATTTAGGCCAGATTCAACTGGCATATGATTACCACATTCATTTATTTTAATTTATATATGTAGATATATATGTGTGTGTGTGTACATATATGGAGAGAGAGAGGGAGAGAGAGCAAACCTCTAGAATGTCTCCAACATTCACTACAAACGAATCTGGGAGGAAATTTACAGGAATCCAAACTCCATCTTTTTTAACTTCAAAACCTTCCACTCCATTGACATGGAGAAGGATGGTGATACCGCTAGCATCTGAATGCGGCGTTAGGCCTATAACTAGCTCTGGTTGTGGACATGGAGGATAGTAAGTCATCCTCACTGATTGCATCCCATTTTCAAACATCTCTTCTCTCTCTCTCTTGTCAATCTTTAGAGCTTTGCCATCAACCCAAAAACCCTCATGGCAAGCTTCTGCAGCTCCGACAAGTAAGACTCCAAGCTATTCCTGCAGTAATATTAATCATCAAGATCATAAGAGCATGAAGTAAAGAGAAATATATACGTACTAGTATATATATATATATATATATATATATATAATTAGTCCAGTACACGAGAGTCTCGTCATTATGAGATTGGCACCTCAGTGCTGAAGGTAGTTCTGGTAGTAAGTGTGGCTTCCTTCTGTGTAAAGGATTGGTTATCATATAAAATCTGTCGGCCCAACCGACCTTTTGATCTTCAGATTGGCGTATGGTCTGTCCATGCCCTTCAACATCACCTGGCCTTTTTTTTGTATCTCATTTTCTCTTCCAATGGAAGGTTGAAGAATTCTTCAATCTCATATTTCAATTTCTCCACCAAAGGAAGAGCCAACTCCATGGTTCACCACCTATAAAAACACAATCATAATCTCTTTTTCTTTTTTTTTTTTTTTTTTTTTTTTTTTTTTTCTCAGTAAAGTACAGTCACACTCTTTTGGCAAAAAGACACTTAGATCAAATTTACCTATTTTTTGGACAAAGACACTCCCTGAAGGTTCAAAAATGGACAAAGACACCCCTTTACATGAGAAATTGACCAAATTACCCTTGGAGACTTTTTTAACTTTACAATTTAATAAATTGAACCAATTTACCCTCATAAACAATTCATTCATAAAAAAAAAAAATAATAAAAAAAAAACTTTATATTGTTCACTTTTTTTTTTTTTGTTATTTACTTTATAAATGTAATGTGGACATCTAAAATGATTTTTTGATCCAATACATATATTTCAGATAAATTATATTTTGTTATTACTTCTTTTCTTTTTCT